GATAGTTACAACAAACAACCCGACGTGGACGCGTACAACATTGGCAGGGGCGGCAAGCGCTATTCCGGCGATGTCAAGGTCTGCCCCCTCACCAGCAGCGGGGAGCACGGTCGGAAGGGCGCTTTTGTCGCTTTCGGCAACACCGAATCATTCTACCGGAACATGGTCATGGGGCATGGGCCCTACTGCGAGGAGGGAGAGGGAGGTGAGGGGGAGGGAGAGGGGGGGGGGAAGGGAGGGTGAGGGGTACGGGGGCGAGGGCATGGAGGGGGAGAGGAAGAGCAAGGGCGAGAGGGAGCAGGGGACGGGTCGATGGCATACTAGGGGGGGGGAGGGTGGTGGGCGGCGACCGCCGCATACCGTCCTATGGCGGCGAGTATCGCTACGCCAGGGAGGACAAGGACGTCGGCGTGCAGCTGCTGCTGTTCGAGTCGTTCGGTGGGTTCGGGAAGGGGGTTGGCGAGATCCTGTGGAAGGCGGCGAACGTGCTGCAGAACAAACTGACGCGGGCCCAGTACCTCGATGAGGTGACTTCGTGACTTGGACCACACCAAGAACTGGCTAGGGCTGCAGAAGCAGCGTATCTCAGTCGTTCTTCACACGGCCATCGCAGAGCAGATTGTGAATGAGCTTGCCTGCGGCGAGGGCGGTCGAGTGCACGGAGCTAAGTGCCTCGCCGTCCTCGCAGGAGTCGCTTAGGCGGCACCCGTGGTGTACCGGCCGCGTAAATTCTTCTCTGCGGCGCGAAATCCGCCGCAAGTCATGAACTCGCTGCAGGGCGCCCTGCTGGCGCTGATTCTGTGCGCTGCGCTCGTTTCGCTCGGCTCGATGACCTCGGCGCAGGCGTCGATGGCCGAGCGGACCGAAGCGGCTGCGCGCACCGAGCATCAGATGACGGCCCTCCGGCAGATGGCGGCGTCGAGCCAGCGGGCAGAGGAGCGGCTGGATCGGCTTTTGGCCGCGGTGGAGCAGCTGCGAGCGGACGCATCGCTCCGGCCCAAAGTCGCAGCCACGGCGACGCCCGCCGCTGCCGCGGTCTTGCCGGCGCCCGCCGCCACCGCCGCCACCGCCGCCACCGCCGCCGCCACCGCCGCCGCCGCTGCCGACGACGGCTGCCCTGGGCGGCGTCCCTACCACACCGTGCTGACGGCGACGGGGTCGGTCTATCAGCAGTGGCAGGCGCGCATCATGTACCACCATTGGAAGAAGGCCTCCGCGGCCGGCGGCAAGTGCACCGACATGGCGGCCTTCACGCGGCTGTGCGCGACAGCCGGCGGGCGGCCCGACGGGCTCGAAGGCGAGATCCCGACGCTCTTCACGGTGGAGCTGAGCGCGCAGGTGCTGGCGTCGCACTTCCACTTTGGCGTCCTCAACAGGCCAAACTCGGTCAAGCAGCTGATGGAGAGCACGACCCTCCTCGCAGAGATCCGAAAGACGAGTGACTATGTGCTCATCCTCGAGACGGACCACGTCATCATGCGCCCCATCCCGAACCTCG